AAGCGCTCCGCCCGCGCCGTCGCCCCCTCACCGGAGGCAGCCCCCGAAGGAGGGGCTCCGTAAGCCACGAACGCTCCGCTTCGACGGCGATCCACCTTCACCTCATCCGCGCCGCGCTGCTGCTTTGGACTGGTTTTGCTTGGCTCCACCGCCGATCGTTGCGTCCCGTTCGGAAAAAAATATGAAAGTGGGTCGTTGAAGCGGAGTTCCTTTAGAAGCACGTGGTTATGGCTACCGGAGCAACTGTCACTAGTTCATCTTAATTTTCTATCGCACCAAACTTCTCTTAAAATATGTTAGATTTAGAATAGTTATGTACCAAACATTAAAGTAATAGCAAGGAAAAATAATTCCAAAAACTAATTGTGTTATAAACGTTCATTTTTTAACTACACAGGAGCAGTAAAATGATGAGAGAATAAAGAATGGGGAACCATTTTATCTCTTGGTACGAATTTAGCACTTCCAAACGAGTTCATATTGTAATATAAGGTACAGTTAAAATAAACTTTGAGTTTACTGAACAGTCATGATAATTAATTACATATTTGCTCTAGAATTATTGTAATGATGCAATGCACAAAGATTGGGAGCTTACTGTGAAAATGTAAAATACTTGTCTTCTCCTTTCAAGATCCCACATAATACTTATGCTTTCTATCACTTCAGTTTCTTTTATTACCTATCGAAGTATCAAAGCAACCAACATGTTGCTTCATGTTAATAAAAGCTATGGCCTAATTAGGCTTTCCTTTTACAGCATATTCTGAATATTTTGTCTTTCATTTCTTTACACTGTCAGATCTCAGTGGATGAGCGTGTGAATGTGTTTGTGTGTTTGGATTTTAGAAGTAGAGAATTATTTCAGTGTTCATTAAGAATGAAAGTGAGCATATTTTAGAGAGTAGAAAAAATATTTATTTGAGACATTCGATTTTGTTTCACTCCTGTTTTAGTGTACTCATAGCATGTCTTCACTGAGCATTTGTTAGCATATGGTATTAGCTGAGTTTTGTTAGCATATTTGAATCGCAACAAAGCTCTGAACTATTGGTCAAATAACAACCGAAAGATGTAGTAGGTACTCGAGGAAAAACACGTGGAAATATTATGCGAATGATGAATCTCATTAATTCCGCAAACTAAAATTTCGTGCATTATACTACGTACTGGTGAATTTCAAAGTCTGAGGAGTGGTGAATGAGACACTCAACGGAAATTTGTTTAAGAAATTGTGTGCGTGAAGCATTTATTAATAGTTTCATGCATGCATTCACTCTAGAACTTGGATACAATTAATTCCAAATAATATTATATACATTTTATGTTGCAGTATTACATTTTGAGTGCACCATTATAAGATTTAATGAAAAACAAGGATATTGCTTCGTATAATCAACATGATTGGATGATTGTCGTGCCTTATGGATATGAAAAATAACATCGCGTACTATTTTACATCTCTTTCATCCAATTTGCTAATGTTAATTCGCTAATGTTCCAATTTCCTGTGTTAGAAACTTTGCAAATGATTTCCTTCCCAGATTTTCTTTTTACATATTCTGATAGTTTATCATCGGATTTCCTTTCGTCACTGAATATAATTCAATTGAATTTGTGAGTTGTACTCCAGGTCACGGCCTCTCCAAGATACTCCAAGCACTAAGATATTTTTGTGATTTACTACTCGTTTTCGTTCCGATTTGTTAACTCACGAACCATATATTGGTTAATGAATCATTATTTCATATTCCTGTGTAGTAAATGACTTTTCGTTCACCTAAACACTCGTACTGTATAAGCAAATCGAGAGGACACTAGAGCTGTGCTGGGGCCTTTTAAATTTCCTTGTTATGCTGCCTGTCCGGTAGATGTTGAAGTTTGCTCGCCACTTTTGCCTAGCAGAGCGTTGCCGAACAAAATGAGCGTGTTATTGGGGACTTCCTGTCGCAGCGGCGGCGGTGGCGACCGGCGCTGCCGCGGGTGCGACCGCGGCCTAGTGCGGCCTGGGCGCCCCTCGCGAACACAGTCTCGGGACAGTCCCGCCACGTAAAATAAAACATCAATTCAATTCAATTCAATTCAATTCAATTCAACACAGCGTCCCAACCAGCTCCCGCCTCACGCGGGACGCTCAGGGGCGAAGATAAAGGGGCACCTTCCATAAATACTTTTTTACTTTCTTGCACTTACGTCGTAAGAAGAGAAAGTATTGAAATCTAACACGTGGTGTAGCCATGAATGGATTTCTTGTTTTGTGGGGTTCTTGATACCGTAAAAACGATCGACGGCAAACATCAGTCTCTCTCCATCTGACTGTCTATGGTCAACGCTAGCGCCTAAACCGTTCAACCGATTTTCTCCAAATTCCATATTCCGCAATCGATTTGTACGAACTCGAGGCTTTGGGTGTTTCAAACGGATGTTCTGATTTTTGAGGGTACTTAACATGATGCCTCAAACATCTTCAAAATTGCTCCAAATTTTTTGCATAAACGTCGTCCTCGGATAGCGTAAAGGACGCTTAAGAGGGTGGTGCAGGTCTCAAGTTCGGTGAAATCCCAGATATATTAGGCGTATTTCTAAAACTAGAATACTGAAGAAAGAGATTTTTCCTTAACGAAAGTTAAGGAAAGTTTAAAGATCTGTTCTTTCTTTAAGGACAGAAGTTTATACAATGTCATGTTCAATTTTTCGAAATTGTCGATTTCGTATAATTCTGCGCGAAATATTGGCAATTTAAAAGATTGTTTTCTCAAAAGCTGCTCTATTTTTTTCTTTAAAGTTTTTCCTGAAATGTATCCAGGGACGGTAAAATATACGCTGCTACTCTAATTTTCGGCGAACTCTCCGTATTTTCAAAAATTTGCAATAAGTTAACATTTCAAAACTACAAAATTGAACATAGCGATTTTTACTTAAGGCAAAGTCTGTCGTAAAAAATCAGCTCTGTAAAAAATGTATTTTACAATGTTTGTAAGAACGAGTATACTTTGCGTAATTTGTACTTGAAATGAATGCAATATCTAAAGTAATAAATTTAAAAAAGCAACAAATGTTTTCATTAAATTATATTTTCGTAAGTAACAGCGACTGAAAAACATACGGTGCTAGTGCCGTTTCCGGTGGACTCTCCGTATTTTCGATCGTTGCAAAAATTGCGTGTTGGATTTATAGGTTTGAGATAATTACATTTTTAAGCGTCGACCAAGTTCGACCACACATTGCATCTGTAGTGTAGTGGCATGACTGACGGCGAGTTAGCTCGGCGGACCTGGGTTCGACGGACCTGGGTTAGTTTTTGCTGGTTGAAAACACTTTTTCGTGTTTATGATGAACTATAATATAGCGGAGCATGCGAGAAAGTAAGTACTCTTGTGGACCAGTAGTTTTTTGTGTCTTGGGCAAAGCTGTTCAGTAATTATCTCATTGTATATTTGTTGTAGTAAATGAAATGAAATGCGCGGGTTTTAGGGCGCCATGAGTGCAGTGTTTTTCCATTTAAATTAAATTCTGTAAATATTATGGGGTTTTTAAAACAGTGTGAGCAGCAGAACCGACAGGCGTAGCCCCCTGCCTGGTCGCGCAAGCGAGGATCGTAACGCCCCTCGCCAGCGCGGCAAATTGGGTCCGTCAATAAGCAACACGCGCCTGCACGTCGATGAACACTAGTGACTAAAGGCGTCGGTCGTAAAACGTGGTTATAAAATTGTTTTATTAACAACACATTACGCTAATATGAACTTGCGTATAATTTAATTTCCTACATTTTCTATCAGTATTAATTGTTGAACATATCTACTGTTGAAGACCAGGAAGGTAGACCTTCGCTTGTGGATGTGTATTATTCATTGCTTGGTACACTTCCACTTATCATTGTAGTACCGGTTTACATTCAGTAGGTAAGGCATAACTTTCACTTCCAACCATTTCCATTGAAACACGCAGGTGCCCCAGCAACTTTGGGCCTGTCCCTAACTTCTAAACGGTTCGCGATATCGAAAGTCAGTTATCGCTTAACAATACGGAATCACAGAGCAAGTAACATGCCTTAGAGAAATGATCTA